TGGATAATGACTGGATGAATCAATTTGGTTAAGTATTGCCATGCCCACTTATCAGTATAAAAGTATTACTTTTTTTTTTTTTGCTCTGCTCTGTGGCCTCCTGCCCCTAAGACTTTTAGAATCTTGAAACTATAAATATGTAAAATCCAGGAAGTTGATCATTTCTAATTATACAAAACCTAATCTAAGAATACATTTGTTTTCACTATTATTCTATTTCCAAAGATAGAATTCTAGGGATAGCAGCAGGGGTGAGGGAAAGAGAAGAAATGGAAAGTGAATTGTGTTATTTTCTCTGAATTGCAGAATTCATTCTCACATTTTATATTACAAATGTGAATTTACTAATGATCTTAATTGCTATTTGGCTTCCATAATCTCACGAGGGTATCCCTTTCCTAGGGGTTATTTGAGTGCTCTCCAGATCATCTGTTTTTCTTGTTGGATTCAAAGAGATAAAAAGGACAATGAAATATGAGTTTACTGCACAATTTAAGATTAATAGAAGTGCAGTTGGAAAGGAAACAGTTTATATGCAAAGAACAAATCTTTGTTCTTTGTATTAAATAAAAGTATTAAATATATACTGATTTGTTTTGTGAAGAACACAATTAACATTCATAAATCAAGAATTACAATCCAGACCTTCACCCTTAGATAGCCATTCAGATACACTTCTGAATATTTTCATTTGATGCAGATGGTTTTACTACAACGTTATTGTTTAAAGGTTCAATTCTGGGTTCTTGAAGCAAATATTCAGAAAATGTGATTGTATCTGTGACTTATAAAAGAATCTAGTTCCCGGAAAAAGGTAGGGATAGGAAAAAACAGAGAATACTACTGTTAAAAAAATGTAAGTTTTGACCAGGCACGGTGACTTATGCCTGTAATCCCAGCACTTTGGGAGACTGAAGTGGGTGGATCGCTTGAGCCCAGGAGTTTGAGACCAGCCTGGCCAACATGGCAAAACCCCGTGTCTACTAAAAATACAAAAATTAGCCAGTCTTGTTACCCAGTCTCAAAAATTTTAAAATAAATTTGTTAAAAATGTAGGTTTTGTCAGGGCAGCCCTATTATATGAAATGATAAATTTTAAATGATTCAACAGGTTTAATTTGAGCTGTTAAAGGGGAAATGAAGTTAGAGATATAAAGTTCTGTTTCAAAGTAATTTAGTTGACAAATCCTAATTGAGCTGTTACTTTATGCCTTGCTCTCATGAGTTTGGATTTTTTTTTAATCTACATATTTACCAGCAAAAATATACCATGAAAATTTGACTTCCATCGGATTTGCAAGATTTCTAGACTCCTATTGACCAAACTCCAAAAATATTTACGTTGTTCGTAAATACAATAAGATTAAGCTATACCAAACCTTGGTGACCCCTAAGCACAAAAGTAAGTTCTGAGAGTGAAAGGAGACTGCTTACACCTAACTCAAAACCAGCAGTTTAAAAATCCAATTTGATTTGAAGAAAAAATAAATTATTTCATTTAAAATGTGATGCTCACATGAAAATAAAAATTGAATTATGGCATACGCTAAACTACTCAAATTTATGAAAAGTGAGAGCTTCAAATGGATGTAAATTAATCAGGAAATAACCTGTAGAAGTTAAATGCCTCATAAACGGAGACAGCTAGAAAATAATAAACTTGATAGCAAAGTGAAAGAAGATAAAGTGATAAGTATGATAGAACAAGGCCAAGGAAATTAGCCAAATTTAGTGTATTTCCATCAAGCAAAAGGCCTGGAAAAATGTTTTAGAAATGGAGGCAGTGAATTAGGGTAATATAGAATTGCAAGATTGGCAATTTATGTCAAAGATATGTAAATATCACCATTATCTGTTGCTGCATGGGAAGTAGGTCCCTTCTCTTTAGGCAGTGCAAATCTTGCCCAAGAAACTGGTTTCTGATTTTAATCTGTATTGTTTTTGGAAAATGTGAAGCCTGAGGAGTTTTTTTTTTTTTTTTTTTTGAGATGGAGTCTTGCTCTGTTGCCCAGGCTGGAGTGCAGTGGCGCGATCTTGGTTCCCTGCAACCTTTGCCTCCCGGGTTCAAGCAATTCTGTACCTCAGCCTCCCGAGTAGCTGGGATTACGGGCGTTCGCCACCACGCCTGGCTAATTTTTTTGTATTTTTAGTAGAGACAGGGTTTCACCATCTTGGCCAGGCTGGTCTTGAACTCCTGAGGAGATATTTCTTATGTGATGAAAAAGAGGGCTTGATAGCTCCAAGAAGGTGATCCCCATTAGTGGAAATCAGGTCCTCTGGGCAAACCTCTTCTCTCTCTGCATTACTAGAAATATCTACCTACTTCTTATATTAAATATACCTCTGATGTATTTCCCTGTATATCCCAATCACTCACCAGGAACACTTTATGGAGCAAATAAAATTAGAAAAATGCAATGCTCATTCTAAATGTGATGAGTTGAATAATCACAGGGGGAGGAAATCAATATCAGTCTCCTAGAGCTACATGTTCGCTCTTTCAGGGTAGGGGTTCTGTCACTCACTTTATCTCCTCTCATGTTCCCTTACAGAACATAACAGATTGTTTTAAAAACTGGATCTCCCCACCCACCCCATGTTATTCAAGAAATGTTGGTGTTGAATTTCTGTCCTCTGCTTTTGAATCAGAGAAAATACCTGTGTGGCCTCTAGAAAACCAATGGATTTAGTTTGGGGCCATTCAGGTTTAGGCTGTTCAAGTCTCATAACAAATAGCGATATATACCTATAAGTGGGGCAGCTATAGGCTGGAGGATCTGAAGCTGAGATCTGGAAAAGCCCACTGCCTTATTATGGAGGTTGTTATGGAGATGACTTTCTGAGGCAGGGTGAGTAGTTGAGGAAAGATGGTGATAGTATTTCAGAATCACCAAGTCTCAATTTTGACAAGCCTTAAAACCTACAGATTTGATAAACATTGCTGCATATAAAGATATCACTGCTAAGAAAGGAAGAAAACCACTTGGGAGGTCAAAGCGAGAGGGTTTCTTGAGGCCTGGAGCTCAAGACCAGCCTGAGCAACATGATGAGAATCCCATTTGTACAGAAAATAAAGCAAATTAGCTGGTATAGTGGTGCATGTAGTCCTAGCTACTTGGGAAGCTCAGGCAGGAGGACCACTTGAGCCCGGGAGTTTGAGGCTGCAGTGAGCTATAAACACGCCACTGCACTCCAGCCTAGGCGACCTTATCTCAAAAAAAAAAAAAAAAAAGAGATAAATAAAGCCTAGATTTCTTAAAGTGTTTGCCACAAAACAAGCTAATTTAATGTACATCTTGAGGATTGTGACCTATTAAGATATGAACCCTTAATATCTAGCACATGCTTAACATATACAGTTGACCCTCAAAAATAGCTGTTGAATCGAATTACGCTAGGAGTTAGATAGCAAAACTATTCTACTCTCTGACAGCTAATTTCTAAAAAAAAAAAAAACAAAACAGAGGAAGGACTCAAATCTAGAGATATATTGTATCCTGCCTGAGTGCTCATAAATATTTATTGAATGAATGAATAAATTAATGAAAACATGGCACCCGAGTTCTGGTATAGTTGGGATATATCTGCCCTTTTAGGGTACATGTTGCATGTATGGCTATGTGCTCACATAGCACATACAAATTATTATTACCTAAAAATCTGAAAAAAACCCGACCAGATCACATTTTACTTTCCCTCCACACAGCTGAGCTCCCAGTGGAACAGATTACACTCCAGAATGGAAGCCCCATCATATTAATGATATGTCCCTGTGTCATACTAAGGGTGTGAACCCACAGAACTTCCTGGATCCAATGCCACTTGCAAGAAACCAAAGCAGTCAGACTTCAACAGATTTGAAATCTTATAAATCATTTAGGGGTCAGAAATGGAAGATTTTTATTTTTATTAGATTATTTTTTTCATGAAGCTTAAATTTTCTAGAATTAGCAAAAGAGAATTTTTAATGGCTTTCCTTTTCTTAAAAGGAAAAAAATCTGAAAGCAATGCAGAAAATAACAAGAAAATTCTATTTATTCTAGTCTTTGCAGAAATAAGATCCTGGCCCAACTCCAGCTGTTAATTCTATTAAACATACACAGAAATTCAATGATATCTGTTCTCTATTATATACATATAAATGTTTAACTTATAGTAAGTCTCAAAACAGACAACTGGGAAAAGTTGATAGGAAATAATCAGGGACTGCAATTGCCTGCTGGACATTATCTCATATATAGCTCACTATAAAGAAAGACCATAAAACATCAAAATGTATCTGGGTCCAAATGGGGAACACATTGAAGCTTCTGATTGCTAAAGTCTTCTCAACTTCAGCACAGTAGATACATTTTGAAGCATCACAGCTGTTGACATGGCATGGTACAGTACTAATTTTGTGTTTACTATATTGTTGCACAAGTTTTCTAGACACACAGTTAACAAAATTAGTATAAAGATAATACCATGTTAACTGCTGTTGAAATCCCATGGAAAAAATATATATATACATATATTTTTGGTTCTCTTAGCTCAGAACAATTCGTGAGTTTTAAGTGACATTTACCAATCTTTATGGCTCCACTTACCAATCTTTAAGTTCCTCCATGGGTTCGTCCTTTCTTGATGTCATTCCAACATACATTTCCTCATGTTCCCACCCTCTGTGAATTTCATAGCTGCCACTGGCTGATACACATTTGCCCCTGCAGTGGTAAATCTAGGCATCTGCTTGCCCAATGTTAAGTCATATACCACGACTTTTTTCTTAGCAATCAAGAGACTGACTCAAAATTTTTGTAGGATCTTATTGCTCCTTCCATGGGATTTGATGCTTTCATTGATATAGTATTTATATATGTATACTTATACATATATAGATATAAAAATATACACACATTAACACACTATAATCTATATAAAAAAAACATGTATAATCACATATATGTATGTATTGTTTTTTGCAAAAGAAAAAAGAAAGCAAGCAAAACAAGACTGACCTGACCTACCTGTACTTGGCTCACATTCAACGAAGTCTTCATCATCACTTGAACATTCAGCAGATGAAACAAGATCATCTGATGTTGGCTGTTTATGTCAAAGAGAAAATAGTGGGGTAGGGGAAGAGAGAGAAGAGAGAGAGATAGATAAGGAAACTAATGAACAAAGACATCAAAGATTTACCACTGTGTCCCATCTCCCATCATTATGATTATTATTCTAAAGAAGGGCATACTGTAGGATGGAGAATTCTTAACTACTGTGTGGCTGAGAATGACTTTGGGTCTAGACCATCTAGGGGTGTCTTCCGTAGAGCTGGGTGACCCAAGGTGGTTCCAGCAGACTTAAGCCTAACCCATCCCCATAAATGACATTGCACAGCCTTACTTCATTCTGATTTTGAGTTCTGAGAATCAGAAGGACAGGAGAAGGGCTGTTGTAAAGGATGGACAATGTAAGAGTACAAAGCAACACAAAGTCACTGTGACTTTGAGAGAGTTTCAATCCTTATGGTGTGTGGTCTCAAGTGTATGCAGGGGTAGTTGTGCATCTATAGGCTGGGATAATTAATGAATGCTGTGGAATGCATTCTCTTCAGGAACAGCATAGTGGCTTTTATCATTCATGTAATTGCTGCAATAGTCGAGTTAGTAATGTGGACCAGTAGCATGATACCACACAAAAGTCCCTGAACACAGGTAAGGCTGTTCCTGAAGAGAGCAAAAACAGTTTTGACTGCAATAATAGTAGTTCAACTTGAAGCACCTTTTAAATTCTGAGTCTTGCAGAAACTCCCCAATCCCAGGGAATCTATTACAAGAAATATAGGAGACCGAGTATCAGCTATGAGAAGAGCCCTCCATAGAGTAAGTGAGATGACTGCTTTCTGCATTTGGTACATATTGCATGCGCAATAAATATTGAACGAATGAATCTACGCAGATCTCATGCAAAAAACAAACATTTGGCCTATGATATGCTTAAGAGGACTCAATATATTACAGTTCAATAATGCTCATTTATTTCCCCTTCTTGATGTTACTAATATTTACTGACTTGTCGATCTTCCAGTTCCCAAATGTACTAAAGTCTGGATCCAAATTCAAGAGGAAGAGGTAATAAACCATTTCCCTTCCATTGAGCAATTACTACAAGCTAGATGCTGTCCTAGACATACATACATACACACACACACATATATATATATATACTTTTTAGTTATAGTTATTAATTAGACACAATTCTCACAACCATCTTTTGGGACAGGGATGACTATCATATGTTCAATTAGAATTGCAGTTAGACAGGTTAAGTGAGTTGCTGAAAGACATACAGCTAGTAAAAAACACAAAGTGGGAATTCCAATAAATACATCTTAGTCAAATTCTGTGTTTGTGGCTTGCAATAGGCTTCTTTATACCTGGTCTTACATTATGGACAGAATTATGTCCCCTCAAAATTCATATGTTGAAGTCCTACTCCCTCAGAATGTGACTATATTTGGATACAAAGACTTAAAGAGGTAATGAAGTTAAAATGAAGCCTTAGGATGAGCCCTAATCCAATATGACTTTTGTCCCTCTAAAAAGAGGGGATTAGGGCACAGACATACACAGTGGGAGGAAGGCCATATAAAGACACTAGAAGATAGTCATCTACCAGCCAAGGAGAGAGTTCTCAGAAGACACCAAGTCTGCTGACACCTTTATTTCAGGCTTCTAGGCTCCAGAATTTCGAGGAAATAAATTTCTATTGTTTAAGCCACTTGGTCTGGGATATTTTGTTATGGCAGTCCTAATAAATGAATACATATGGCAGCCTTTCTACTCAGGATTTCCAGAAAACATCCTTGTTTAAAATAGACATCCTAGGTACAAAACAACTGTACACAGCAAAGAATTGGAAAACCCACATTAGATAATTCATTGATTTAATGAACAATGGCAGAGAAGTGTCCTACACAACAATATTGATGTTTATTCTACATCTGAAAGGGGGATAGTTCAAACCTTGCTCCTCAAGGTTAGCAGAAAAAATGAATTTTTTTTTTAAATCTTATTTAAGTTGCAGGATACATGTGCAGAACGTGCAGGTTTGTTACATAGGTGTAAATGGGTACGATGGTGGTTTGCTGCATCTATCAACCCATCACCTAGGTATTAAGCCCCATGTGCATTAGCTGTTTATTCTGATGCTCTTCCTCCCCACACCGAAAAAAGAATTTTTAAACATACTTAAAAAAAAAAAAAAACACTACTGAATTGTTCATTTCAGTTCCAGCAACTGAAACTGGTAGTTACATCCTGGGGGACTGTTATTTGTGTTAGAGACATGGTAAGCATATTCCCTTGGTGTTTCCTGCTGAGAGGCGGCCCTATAATAGCTCCACTTCTAGTTACTTAGGGAAAGGAGATGGTAAGTGGGAAAAGCGTTAGCTGTTCAAATAAATAAGGCAATTATAAGAGCAAAACACTATTTTGGAAGGACCAAAATCATTGTTTAGCAGTTTTTAAGTATGCGTTCTTCATGGCAATGTCTCCCACCAAAGGCAGGAAAGGTTGGTTTGGGCTGGGGGAGAATCTTAAATATTACAATGGTTTGTGACCCTCCAAAAGGCCACAGTTACATAAATGAATATATAGTATATCTTTGGAATTGAAACTTTTTTGGAAAAGGGCAATTAGGGGGAAAACTTATCTGAAAAAACTCCTTAGGGTGGTGGTAATAGAGAGGTTGAGAAGACAATGCTAAAGCGCGTTCAACTGGAAATCGTTAATGATTTAACTGTAAGGGCCTTACAGAATGGCTCAGTAGGGCTTTGGTCCCTAGTACTGAGTGAAAGCTGGTGACTTAATGAAAATCTAATGAGCTCCTTTCAAGAACTGAAAGCCTGGCAATAAAGTTTAAAGGCGAGGCCGGGCGCGGTGGCTCAAGCCTGTAATCCCAGCACTTTGGGAGGCCGAGACGGGCGGATCACGAGGTCAGGAGATCGAGACCATCCTGGCTAACACGGTGAAACCCCGTCTCTACTAAAAAATACAAAAAACTAGCCGGGCGAGGTGGCGGGCGCCTGTAGTCCCAGCTACTCGGGAGGCTGAGGCAGGAGAATGGCGTAAACCCGGGAGGCAGAGCTTGCAGTGAGCTGAGATCCGGCCACTGCACTCCAGCCTGGGCGACACAGCGAGACTCCGTCTCAAAAAAAATAAAAAATAAAAAAATAAAGGCCATTGAACAAATGTATAAAAACAATGCATAACTTCAGTAGAAACCAAAACATACATTAACATAATATTAGTTGAATCTTTAACTCAAAGGAGACATCTTCATTTGCATGGGCCAAAAGAAAAAATGTAATTTTTTTTTCTTCAGAAAAAGGAGTAGACTCTGAGGTTGAAAAGATTCTTACTGCCTTCCTCTCAGCTTCCTTGGTTTTCTCTCATACTATGAAGTTTCTCTCCCCTGTGGTTTAGGTGACACCATACCCAGCCCCACTCTCCCACCCCTTCTCCACCTCCAATTCCATCCCCAGAATGGGCCCCTAATCCCCACTGCAGACCCCACACATCATCTTTCACTTTCTGACCCCCTTTTCCCACCTTTAATCCTCTCTATGCTCCACTTTGCCCAAAGATCTGTTTTCTGCTGATCTTTTATATGAGTACATATGAATACAGTGTTCTTCCTAGGCAAGAGAACCACATTTTACCAGTAGCTCCTAGCAATGGTGCCCAGACTCAAAGGAGTTTAAAGGGGAAATGATCCAGCAGTGTGTCATAAAAATGGGCCTAGCCCTAGACATAGCACAACTGTGAATCCCAACTTCTCCACTTAGATTCAGAAGATGACCTGAGATGTGTGTGTGTGTGTGTGTACACACTTCACTTAGTTTCTTTACTAAGTAACTAAATCAGTTAATCAACATCAGCTTCTTAATCAAAGTAATTCCAAGCCTGATAGTCACTCCTAATTTAAATAAATTTGGTATCTGCCTATGTGCTCTATTTGTTATGATTTACCCCACATTAGAAGTGTTCTTTGTTGCTGACAACTCATTACTTCCATTTTATGGTACACATACTATTATATTTCTAGTTGCACCTGCCATGAGGCGTGATAAGGAAAAAATGTACTCATAAAGAGCTTAAACAATCATTCAAAGGTGATCTGTTTTCAGTGGCTGTGAATCTAGACAATCTGTGTGGGTCTTACATGAATTCAGTTCCTTCCTTTCTGTCCCTCAGACCTCACCATTACCACTTAGAGGTACAGCCCACTGAAACTCCCAAAGCAATTACAAACATCTCAGTCCCTCTTTGCCTGTTTTGGTAACCAATGTTTTCCTAGAGAACCCGGCATGCAACACTGGCCACACCCGCCATAGAACACTGTGTAGTATGGAAAGACTTCCTCTGCCAGAGACCTTAATTTGCAAAAAGGTTTAGAATCAGGAATGCTACACTTAGACTTTTTAAAAACTACTCCTGTCCCTAACATCTAGAAAATCCAAACATTACAAACCAAGGATTTCGGATGATATGAGCAGCTTAAGATCATATCCTAAATTAATGGCAATTGGATTCAAAGATACTTTCAGAAAACCCAGGGCTTTCTTTAAACACTTTTTGTTGTTGTTGTTGTTGTTGTAGTTGTAGTTGTTTTGGTTTTTTCAGTCTGTGTTCTATTTCAGATGTAAGCAAATGCAGGATCTGATGCTGAACCTTGAAAGAAAAGACACACTTTGATTGCTTTCCATGGCTTGTAAAACAGGTTTCATGTTGCAGATATACTCAGACTCAGAATAGAATTGCTACGAGTAGAACAAATCTGTGGACCTCTGCCTTTTAATAAAATGTTGTAGCCTTAGGCTAAATGTGTGTGTATTTTCCCATAATCACAACCATTGTCTGTAATTACTGTTAATTACTTAGAAGAAAGAGCAGTTAGTATGCCTGCAAAGAAACAGATATCTGGACTATCTAGAATCATGCCTACTAATAACATTTATCATTTAATAAACACTGGCTACATTTAGGCTTTGCGCTGAGCTGTTAATTCATATTAATTTAGCACTCACAGTAACCAAGGGT